GCAAGGCATATAGGGTATTAATTAAAAGTGTGATTTCTGGAGCCAGGATGCCTGTGTTCAATACCAGGTTCTGCCTCTTACTGGCTGATCCTGAGAGAGAATTTTAAATTTCCACCTACTTCAGCTTTCTCACTTACAAAGGCAGATAATGACATTAACTTATCTGTTACAGTTAAGTGCTGAAATATGTAAAGCAATGACTAGAACTTAGCCTTCAATATACGTTAGCTTTTTATCATTGTTCACTCTGAAAGAAAATGTGATTCAAAGAAATATGAAGAGATCTTAGGAATGTCATCTTGATGCACTCACACCATAGAACGCCACAGAAATGGCTCTACCCTGAGAAGCAGGAACAGATAGAGATGATTCTCTAATGCCGTGAGCTGAGTCTGAAGTAAAGCATAAGTCCTGAAGGACAGGGATAGCAGCAATGAATGACGATTCATGTCAAAAGTTCTTATATTTTCACTTGGGTGACCAATCCCGCTCCTTTGCAAAACGAGAATATCTATAAATAGCATTGTTATTTTACAATTGTCCCTCTTTCTAAACTGATATTTGAGGGCAAGACTGGGTCTGGGACTCATCAATATGTGTGTTTAAGCCTGGGACAATCCCTGACCGCAGCAGACCTTCAATAAATACAATTATTTGAAAAGAAAGAAGGAGAAACTTGGGGAAAACAATTTTACAATACCAGTAAATGATAGCGTTAAGATTGATGGTAAATCATTACAAACAATTTTGTGATATATTAAATAAAAGTACTTAAATTTTTAACATGGAAAATAATAAAGAAAATTAAAATGTAAACCATAAACTGGAGAAAATGCTGAATTGAATATCAGCAAAGTGTTAATATTCTTACTGTGTGAAGAAACAATAAAACCACTGAGAAAAATACTAGGATTCAAGAGATAACAGAGGATAGATATTTCTTAGAGTGGTCACTGTAATTGGCCAATAGATATGGGAAAAATGTTTACTAGCCATAGAAATCAAGTAAATATTAATTAAAAATTAAAAAGCTATCTAAGTTTGCAACAATTTGACAATATTAAGATCCAGCAAAGAAGAGTGTGAGATAGATTGTGTTACAAGTATTCAAAGGAATAATATGTAACTACTTAAATACTATCAGCATTACTTCAAGTAACAAAACTGTAATTCGAAAAGCTAGTTTCACATTCATTTCAACAAGTAAAAATACATACGCTAAGAAAAAAAGAGCAGGAAATTTAGAATTAAATGAAGCCTCAGAAAGGTCAGAGATGCCTCGGAGGAGGTCACTTCCCCCCAACCCCGACCTCCAAATTAGCCTGACACTTTTTTCTCAATGAAATGCTTATGCAAACACAGCACACCTAGTTCAGGGGACTCAGGATTAGGAAGGTGTGTGTCAAGGACAGTGTGTGTCAGGCCTCCTCACGGTATCCCAGACCTCTCACATCCTCACCTCTCCGCCCCGACCCTTCACCCCAACCACAGACGCCCTACATTTCGCCTCCCCACATGGGCAATGTCCCGCCGCACTCACCGTTCCCGGCATCTCCAGCCCCCGCGGCCACCGGGGACGACGTGAGGCGCTGCCGCTGCGCCCCCGCACCCACCCCGGACACTGTCTCCTGCGCGCCCCGAACGCAGTTTCTCTGGCCCACCCTGGCCTCGCGGGCGCCCCCGACCACACTCACACTGTCCACCCTCTCACGACACACGCTGCTCTTAAACACGCGCTGTCCCCGACGCACTCACACGCACATCACAGCTCGTGCTGTCACAATCGCGCGCTCAGCCAGGCCCGCGTGTCACTCGGTCACACGCCCGCCCTGGCCGCCCCGCCGCGCTCACCTCGTCGCTGCACCGCGAAGCTGTCGATAACCCCGTAGTTGTGTCTGCAGTACCTGTCCACCTCGGCCCGCGTCTGCTCCAGGAAGTCCTTCTGCCCGTTCCAGTGCTGGGCGTCCGGCCGCCCCAGCTCTGTCACCGCGCGGAACTCCCCCACGTCGCTGTCGAAGCGCACGTACTCCTCCCGGTTGAAGAAGTATCTGTCTAGGAATCGCACCCGCTCGGTGCCGTTGGAGAAATGGCACTCATGCTTAGCATACTCCAAGAAACGTGCTGCGGAGACACGAACGATCCGGTCACACGCGCGGCCTCCCGGGAAGAGCCTGACGGCGACTCCCGACAATCGCGGGCGCCCGGGGTCTGGTGACGTGTCAGCGGGACACCCCGATAGGCTCCACCGCGACCCCAGCTACTAGCTCCGCGCGTTACTCCTCTGTCGCCCGACGCGGAGGGAGGCGGCGCCGGGAAAGCCCTGGGACCCCCGGTGAGCGGGCCGGGAGCTGCCCCTGCACGGCCGCCCGCGCCGCCTGCCCCGGAGCCTCCCCCGGGAGACGCGCCCCGCTCCCCCGTCCCGCAGCTCTCGACCCGTCCTCCAGCGCGTCCCGCATCGTTCGTCCTGTAAACACTCGTCACTGCTGACCTGTGCCAGGCTGTGCTGCCCCTGGGGGTGCAAAGAAGCGAAAACAGACGTCTCCGCTCCGCTCACGGAGTGAAAGTGCCGCGAAAGCGGTGGGTAAAGAAGGGCAAGGATGTACACAGGACTGCGAAACGGCCAAAGGGACGCGGGGAGCTCTGTAACAGAGAATGACAGCACGATCCACATCACATGCGGGTGCCAGAGGAGGACTGAGGAACCGCGTCTAAGATGGGACACGAAAGGTCAGGTTGGTGGAGCTGGAGAGGAGCGTGCAGCGCGTGTGTATGTTCCGGGAAAGGTAGGAACAGTTCAGGTACAGACAGTACAATGTGCGACAGTTTGAAGGGATCGATGAATTTCTTCAAGGAACCAGAAGAGGGTCCACTGAAGCGCAGAGGGCGGGAGGAAGCAGGGTGAAATATTACACTGGAGAAGTCACAAGAAGCTGGTGATTAAAAGCCTGGGGGTGATGTTAGGATTTTGGATTTATACTAAAGGTAATAGGAAACTATCAAAGGATTTTAAAGAGATTCACACCATGATCCCAGTACAGGTCCCCAAACCCTTTTCTGCATTTCTGAATCAAAATCTGAAAACCAGATTTTTAAAAATTTGGCGCCAAAACTCATTTGGCAAATCTGACCTGAGAAGGTGAGGGGTGAAATGAGAACTCTCATGTGACATGTGCTTCTGTGGTTTCAATATGTATAAACATACATACGTACATGCATAAATAGACACACATTTGTAATATACTTTCATATGTGTACATATTTTTTACTTTTGTCTTTATGTATAATTGAACTGTGAAAATGTCAAAAAGTTAAAAATAATCCTGCGATTAAAAGTGAAATCAATAAATGGGAGCATCTGAGATCAGCAGTACAGAATGTAGAATTACTGCAGAAGTTTGAGGCACTTTACTAAAGAATATTTGTGGCAGCTATCACTATTCATGACTCATAAATGCAAGTTGTTGAAAGTTAATAGAAATAGTGATGACCAAGAGCTCATGAAAGTTTTGAAAAACATTACATAAGGCACAAAATCAAAATGAAGATGAACTTGCATTGATTGAATGGATTCAGCAAGAAAGTGGTGAATTTAAGCAAAAATAAACCATGAAGAACTGAATCGAGAGGCCTGTGTGTATACAAAGTATGAGTTTTGGGTATTTAAAGGCAGCACAGCATAAGGTGTTTTCAACCTGGGCACTATTGACATTTGAACCTGATAACTCTTGAGGAGGGAAGGTGGTTGGTCTACACATGGTAGGTTTATCTGCCAGCATCCCAGGCCTCTACTCATTAGATGTCACAAGAAACTCACAGGTTAACGACCAAAAATGGCTCCACGTATTGCCAAATGTTCCCCAGGGGATGGGGGGAATGAGGGAGGGTGGTGAATTATCTATCCCTGGCTGAGAACCGCTAGTGTAAACGATCTGAAAAATCTGTGGTGAAAATGCTACTGTTAATTATGGAGCAGCTGAGAATTGCATTGAAAATCTGCCAATATTATATCATTTGAAAATCTTGGTCCTACATGAAACTTATGTGTTTTAGGAGTCCAGTCCCGGTGGAGGGCTATTTTTCCAGCAAAATTAATTTGTTCAGGATCAAAGTTTACTGATTTCTTTGCCTTGGCAACCAGTCACCAAGTCATATAATTTATCCCTTATGATGTCTCCTTAATTTCTCTGCCACTGATCCACTTATAAGCTACAGCCACAGCCATTTTATTTATGTTCAATGCTCTCGAGTAATTCATTTTCTAATTTTCAGCCCCCTACTCCCAATAATACCAGTAGGCATAAAATGACCAGCCTTGGCCAGATGTAGAATTCCCATTTCTGTAGTTAAGTTCCTTCAGAAGGGGAGAAACTACAAAGATGGCGTTCTCATATAGAGTTTACAAAAAAATGAGCAGGTCCCTGGACTTGGAGCAGAGACCTTCACAAAGCTCCCACTGCTGGTTAGAAATGATGGCCGAGAGGAGCGCACTCTGGATCAGACAAGGTCTATCTCACCATTTGCAAATCCTCCAAGAACCTCCTACACAGAGGAGAAAGTATTTTGAGAAAATGTGTGTAGTTGCTGTTCACTGTAGCTTGCATAGTTAGCACTGTAGTCCACGTTCATGTGCCCAGTTTAGGGTTGCCAGATTTAGCAAATAAAAATACAAGATGCCCAGTTAAATTTAGATTTCATATAAATCATTATTATCTGAAATTCACATTTATGCTGACAGAGACCAGGTTTGTTTTGTCCATCACTCCATTCTCATCACCTACGCTAATAACTGGAGTATTTTAAGTCATTAATAAATATTGACTTTATGAATTAATGACTTTTTGCATCACCAGTCACCACTGCAGACAAGGACCCTCTAGTGTTTTCTTGCTAATGACTGAACATCCCTGGTTCTCAAGTCCTCCTGCTTCTCTTCAGGTTCTTTATTCTTTTACTTTAGGTCCAGCTGGCTCCCTGATCCCAGATCAGAGTCCTTCCCTGAGGCCGGCTACTCAGAAGAGTCAACTGTAATCCTGGCCTCACTTCCTCAGCTCCCACTCTCTCCTCAAACAGTCAATCCAGCTTCCATTCTGGACACTCCACTGACTGGAAATGTCAAGTCCACCACACTCAGCACTTGCTGCTTTGTCTTGTTCTCACTTCGTCCACCTGTTGGTGGCACTCACCACAACGGGCTACTCCCTCTGCCTTGAAAAAGTCTATTTTCCTTAACTTCCATGCATCATATTCATTTGGTTTTTCTCCAACATCAGTGGGACTCCTTGTCAGTCCCCTTTGCTGGCTCTTGGCCCTTGGCTCTCTTCTTATTGTCTATATATAAACTCTCTCCCTATGAAATCTTTTCTACTTTCATGGAATTTAACATAGTATATGGATCAATGCTGTCAATATATGTAATTCCAGCCCTGGCCTCACCCTGAACTTCAGTATCTTATATTCAAAAGACCTCTTGACAGCTCTACATAAAAGTCAAAAAATCACTTCGAACTGAACTTCAACAAAACCTTTATTTCTAATCACTTCAAATCATTTCCTACCACAGTCTTTCCTATCTTGATAAGCAACACCATCCACCTATTAAGACAGAGTCCTTAAGAATAAGCTTGATTCTCTATCCCCTTCTATGTTTAATGTATTGACAAGTCATAAAAAGATCTATCCCCATTCTGTTCACTTTATCTTTGTCCCTGTCTTTATCACTACTGCACTAAATGAAGCCACAGTCTTGCCTTCCCTGGAGAATTCTGCTGTGCACACATGGTCTCCCTGACTCTACTTGCAAACCCCAACAATCCAATCTCTTCTAACAGCTAGAATTTTTTAATTGAGTGTAAATTGACTGTCTTTGTAACCCTCAAGTAGATTCCCATATCTGCTTAAATAACATTCAGATTTCTTACCATGGCCATCAGGTCCTAACAGGATTAGGCTCCTGACTTCCTCTCCAGCCTGCCTCGTCAATGCCACTCCACCCCCTTGCTCGCTACAATTCAGCCACTCTAGGCTACTTTCTGTCCCTTAAACACGGCACACATCTTCCCACATTTCGGCCTTTCCCTGATCCCTCACCCTGGAACACTTGTCCCTTGGATCTTCACATGGCTGTCTTCTTGTCATCGTTCATGTCTCAGATGAATGTCACTTTTTCAGGGAGAGCTCCTCAGACACTTGAACTGAAGAGTTGGGTGAATCCAATTCACTATGTCCTATTACTTTGACGTCTTTTTTTTCAGAGCACTTATTGTGCTCTGAAATTTTCTTTGTTAAATTTTTATTGGGCTATTGTCTATCTTCTCTGTTATTAGGTAAGTTTCATGACAGTAGAGACTTTTTCTATCTTATCTGAATAGAATTCTCTGAGCCCAAAATATATCCCAGCACATAATAGTTGCTCAGAATAATATCTGTGGTCTAAATGAAAAACTAGGATTCTGGGAATGGATCACTGTGGGGATCCTGGAAAGTAAGGAGGAGCTCAAGCTCCAACACTCTTCTCTTCTGATGACACAGTATATTCTTTTTTTTTTTTTTTTTTAAAGATGACCGGTAAGGGGATCTTAACCCTTGACTTGGTGCTGTCAGCACCACGCTCAGCCAGCGAGCGAACCGGCCATCCCTATATGGGATCCGAACCCGGGGCCTTGGTGTTATCAGCACCGCACTCTCCGATGAATTTCCTTGACTTGCTTATTGGCTTTCAGCTCAATGGGATGTTAACAACCTTCACATTCTCTCTGTACCCTTACTCAGGGTGGATAGTTTAAGCCATATGAAATTGCTAATATTTGACTATTTTTGACTTACAAAAATAGAATTTCATATAATTTATCCTACACTAGTTGAATCCCTTCTCATGGGCTCTAATCAGAGAATGTAGGTGATGTAGGGGAAACCGATAGTATAGAAAGGTTCAAAACAGATTCATGATAAACACTAGCCTGGGCCAGGTTTTCAGAAGTGACTGAAGTTCTTTAAGGCACTAAAGAATCGTTATCTATAGGATCATTCTAAGAACTAAGGTGCTCTTCTTCAGCTCCAGGGTGCTTTCCACAGGAGAAGAAGAGACCGTACTAACCCCAACTTCCATCAAAGAACCTTCAGTAGAGAGATACAGGCTTCATACACATTGTAGTTTGGGGAGAAAAGAAAGAAGATAATGTGGAAGTCTCCTGATACATTCTCAGACATTAGGGAGAGGCACCAAAGTCACAGATCCTGTTCGAGGACATAACATAGGATCTTCTAGTAGAGACACTTCAAATTCCTTTAGAATCCCTATAAAATTTTCAGAAAAACTTTTTTTTCTGGCAAAGATCAACGTAATAAAGGGAAGTACTGGGTGGGGAAATATTTTAACCTTGTGATATCTAAATCCTCTCCAGACCCTGAGGAAATGTGATGCAAGGCTGGAGAGGTTTTATTAGAGGGGAGCTGAGAAGGAATAACCTATATGGAGGCCCCTTACACAGGTCTCCTAGAGAGGGCAAGAATCCAGGCTCCTTTTGGAAATAATTGGGATTCATAGGATCAATATAGGTGGTCAGTGAAGAAAATATCACAATTTTTTAAGGGACATGGCCTGGACACAGTGACAAAGTTAACTTCTTTCCTCCCCCCATCACGTGACAGCTCACCACCAGGACATAACACAAGATCTTCTAGCAGAGACTCTTCCAATTCCATTAGACTCCTTATAAAATTTTCAGAAAAACTTTTTTTTTCTGGCAAAGCTCAACGTAATAAAAGGAAGTACTGCGTGGGGAAAATTTTAACCTTGTGATATCTAAATCCTCTCCAGACCCTGAGGTAATGTGATGCAAGGCTGGAGAGGTTTTATTAGAGGGGAGCTGAGAAGGAATAACCTATATGGAGGCCCCTTACACAGGTCTCCTAGAGAGGGCAAGAATCCAGGCTCCTTTTGGAAATAATTGGGATTCATCGGATTAATATAGGTGGTCACTGAAGAAAATATCACAATTTTTTAAGGGACATGGCCTGGACACAGTGACAAAGTTAACTTCTTTCCTCCCCCCATCACGTGACAGCTCACCACCCGAGGTGTCCACTTACGTTGGGTGTCCCTGGCCAAAGCCAGAGGAGGGCTCAGCACCATCAGTATCACTGTCAAAGCTGCCATCCAGGAGCCTCCAGGGAACCACAGACACACCATGCTGGAGAACAGGAGAGGACCGGGTGCTAGAGGAGCAGGCAAGTCTCACTCAGTGAGAACTATGACCTCCTTCACCCACATCCCAAATAGTAGGAACCAAGGTATTCATTTCTGTGTCCCTGGATTGGGTAATCTCAGTGCTGAAAAACCAATCAGCATCAGAGATAAATAACATCATCAGTTGCTGGCTAGAGATTCAGTATGAAGGTCCTCTTTTGAAACAGAATTTCCTTCATTAGAAGGATTGTTTTAATTTAGTACTTAAAAATTTTGATGCAGTCACATCTGAAATACTTTAATTGGGCCCTTATGGGAGCTGGCTCTGTGCTGGTCAGTGACGCTTTCACAGGTGCGAGCCCTGCAGGAGCACATATCTCTCTTGAAGACAGCTGTTTGAACAAGTGTGTGTGAGAGTGTGTTTAGGAAACAAGAGGATAGAGGAAAGATGATTGCAAGTCAGAAAACCTTTAATCTGGGCCGGCCCGGTGGCGCACTGGAGAGTGCGCCGCTTGGGAGTGTGGCGGCGCTCCCGCCGAGGGTTCGGATCCCATGTGGAGACTGGTTCCCGCTCACTGGCTGAGCGCGGTGCGGGCGCAACACCGAAGGTTTCGATCCCGTTGCTGGTCCCCGGTGTGGGCGTGACACCAAGGGTTGTGATCCCGTTACCAGTCAGTAAAAAAGACAAAAAGGAAAAAAAAAAAAAAAGAAAACCTTTAATCTGGTCCTTATTGCAACATTACTTAGTGTTGTACATTTAAAAAGATTACTTAACCTCTCACAGTTGAAATGAAGATATTGTAATCCCTCATGCATTTCAACACTGGAAAATGCTGTGATTCTGTGGACACCTCAAGGAGCAGCCTCCCCTGGCAACTGATGATGTGACAGAATTATAGCTGCTGATTTGAGGGTATAATCTGTAGCTCTTTACAAGTAGGAATGTCTCTGATAAACTAAACGAAATGGAAAGTTAGTCAATAATTTAACCTGAGGGAAAAGGTTTTTCAAGTTTGTCTACGGATACTGTCACTGAGTATAGTGACACCTCCAGAATACACATAGGCAAGGGCTTGGGGGAGGACATTTATGTGGAATGGAGGGTGTGGAAGGTACCTTTGTATAGCATTTAACCTAACAATGTGATGTCAACTGTCCAAATCAAAGTATGCGGGGAGGTGAGAGATAAATAGAGAACTCCAGGTCAGCCTTTGACACAATATCTCTACATTAAAATAATTAACATTTTATGTGAAAAAATGTTTAATCCCTTGATCCTGATTCCCAATATGACTTCCTCATTTTATTGAGGATATGTCCCTTTATTGTTCCTCTTCTCATACTTTATCCTAAGAAAAGATATAAGAAGACTTTGTTAATGCAAACATTATAGAATGTTCAGGAAATAGGACACTATGGAAAAACTAGAATTACATCATTTGATGTAATCATATAATTGTTAAGCATATAATTGTACTTTTAGATAATTATTACACATTGTATTAGTATAAATGTATGTCTCAGATTCAGAATGGACTTTTAAAAGACAACGATACATGTAAATGTCTGCACTAATTTACACTCTATCACTCTACCACAGTTCTGATAAGCAGTCATTCTTTAGGCCTTATTTCTAGTGATAGGATAATCACCATGCTGCAATAAAAATGACTAAAATTTATACAAGTATTTTTGAACATTTTACTTTGTACTCACAGTTAATTGTACTAACGCTTTTTATACATCATATTTTTATTTGATTTTCACTTCAGCTCAATGATAAATACTCTTTTTTATCACTGCAGATGGAGAGAATAAAATGAGGGAGATTGAACAACTTTTGTAAGGATACATGGCTAGTAAATGGTATACTCCATATTGAACTAAGTTATATGTGATTACAAACTCCTCAAAATCAGCCATTATATCATACCACCTCACATTTTATTTCTAAAAACAATAATGTCCCTTATATTAAAACTATTTTTATCAGTTTAATTCATGGATCTGCATATCAAAAAGTCTACTCCTTCTAATAAATGGCCATATTTTACATAATTTGGGGGTAGATGCTGTATAGCAATTCTAGCTCCCAAGAATGTCCTCATCAACATTGTTACCTTCCTCTGGAAATGACAAAATTTGTATTTACCTTATGGAATGACACCCAAAGCTCCTGCATAAGTCTGTTTCTTATTAGAGATAACAGTGGACTCAAAATTTTGAAATTCAGTCTATTTCAGTCATTATTTCAGGTTTCTCAGCATAATGTAGTGCAAGATTGATTATCTCAGAATAGAATAGAAATCATACTTCACTTACTTTGGAAAAATACATTTCTATTAATGTGAAAAGTTTAAAATTTCTTGGAGCGGTTGGGTAGAAGTCACTACTCTCCCTGGATTTGAGACTAAACTATGTCCCTAGAACCCAATGATAATTCAGTGCTATTGGCAGTTGTGCAATTACAACTAGGATAATATTACATTTAATTTGATGAACAGAAAATAAAAAGTTTACTCACAAACTAATTGTGATGTGTGGTAGTCTAGGAATGCCAAGCTAAGGTTCACCTTAGTATCACTGGATAAAAGGTTGGCAAAGAAAAGTAATTTTATATCAGGAACATACTGAAATACAGTTAAAGAGAACACTATTAAAACTTGTTTATATAGGGGCCGGCCCGGTGGAGCACTGCTACAGTGCGCCGCTTGGGAAGTGCGGTGGCGCTCCCGCCAAGGGTTCGGATCCCACATACAGACCGGCCGCTCACTGGCTGAGCGAGGTGTGGGCGCAGCACCGAGGGTTGCGATCCCGTGGCCGGTCACGAAAAAAGACCAAAAAAAAAAAAAAAAAAAAGCTTGTTTATATAAATTTGATGTACAATTTACAAATCACACAAATTTATGTTTAAAAAGAATAGCCAATGGCTCTGAACTAAACTCTGTCATTTGTATACATTTATGAGTTTCAAAGATTTATCTTAATCTATTTGTGCTACTATAACAGAATACCATAGACTAGGTAATTTATAGAGAAGAAATTTATTTCTCACAGTTCTGATGACTGGGAAGTCCAAAATCAAGGCACCAGGAAGTTCAATGTCTGGTGACGGGACCAGTGGAGACTTTCAAGATGGCACCGTGTGGCTGCATCCAACTAGGGACTGCTGTGTCCTTACATGGTGAAAGGCAGACAGGCAAAAGGCCAAATGCTGTGTGGAGTCTTTTCCAAGGGCATTAACCCTATTCATGAGGGAGGAACCCTCGTGGCCTAATCACCTCTCATGACCATCATATTGGCCATTAAGTTTTTTATTTTTTTCTTAAAAGATGACCGGTAAGGGGATCTTAACCCTTGACTTGGTGTTGNACACCTGAATTTTGGAGGAGACACATTCAAATCATAGCAGATGTGCTGCTTTAAATGTTACGTATCTCATACTTTTCTTCAATATTGATTCAATATAAAGATAAATCAGGTAAAACGATGGAGCAACTGTCACCAAACCATCAATCCTACAGGTGATCTCTAGGCTAAACTTCTTCACTGAAAGCAAGAGGAGAAGCAGTCCTCTCAGCCTGTGCTGTGTGTGACAGGTGTCACATAAGAGCTTATTTCCTGAGGAAAAGGTGGTTAAATTGGTTTACAGTGGAAAGTGGTCATCAGCACAGAATTTCTACAGACTCCGATCTTGATGCATGAGACCATATGTTTGTTTTTGTGGGAAATAATTCATAACACTCTTGGGAACAAGCAAGTAAAATCAAGTTGTTTTGTTGCACAACAGGCAGGTGGAAATTTGTAGCATTACAAAGTGTCTTGAGTCCTACCAATTGTCACAGAATGAGACTCATTTGTAGTAAGCCTGAAAGTTTGCAATATATCTTGAAAAAATGGACATTTTTACTTATGAGCAAGCAAGTTATTATCAGAATACCCAAGTGGTCTCAGAATATTCTCAGGAGTTTTTAGAAAGCAACCACCACTCTTCTGGAACTTAAAGTAAAAAGCAGGTCACCTGGTCCTGTATCTAAGGAAAAAAATAATAACAAGAAATGGATTAACAGGGCCAATTTTTTTTTTACCCAGAATCATAAGTATTTCTAGCACTACTAATTATTCCTAGCATCCCATAGGTTCATTCCATAGGTTACATAAGCAAGATAAGGGAGTAAAACTTGGTGCTATTACACATCTATTCAGAGAGGCCAGACTGGGGGCAAAAGATACCCTGTCAGTATCTATAGTTGCGAATTTAAGGCCCAACCTTTAAAAAAAAAAGTTGTCAGACGAATCCGGTCGGTTATTAAAGAACAGAGGTACCAGTTAATAAAAAATGATCTAAATCAAGGCTATATTATTAAGCAGAGGAAAATGCTTTCCAATAACCATCGCAGAAGATAACATAAGTATTATTAGAAATTTTAAGCTTATCTAGAAGTGAGGAATTCTTATTCCTTTTACAATTTCTAAAGCTATGAATAACACATAAGCATAATAAGAATGAAACCTAAAGGCAAATGATTCTGCCATCTGGGCAAAATATATAACAGTTGGTTTATTTTCTCTCCAGAGCAGGATTTAAAAATAAAACTCTTTAACTTAAGTATAAGACCTGAAACTGTAAAATTACTAAGGTAAAATATAGGTGAAACACTTCAGGAACTAGGTCTGGGCACAGACTTTATGAACATTAGCCTGAAAGCACAAGCAACAAAGGAAAAAATAAATAAATGGGACTATATCAAACTAAAAATTTTCTGCACAGCAAAGGAAACAATTAAGAGAGTGAAATGACAACCTACAGAGTGGGAGAAAACTTTTGCTAACTATGCATCTGACAAGGAATTAATATCCATAATATACAGGGAACTCAAGCAATTATACAGTAAAAAACCAAATAACCCAATTTAAAAAATGGGCAAAGGAACTGAATAGACATTTTTCAAAGGAAGACATACAAATGGACAACAGGTACATGAAAAAATGCTCAACATCACTAATCATCAGGGAAATGCAAATTAAAACCACATTGAGACATCACCTCACCCCAGTTAGACTGGCTATAATCAAAAAGGCAGAGAATATCAAATG